TTATAACAACTACAACAACATCAAACATACACTTACCTATCCCATAAGAACTGAAGAAAGCCAAAGACAGAAAAATCTGGATTAAAGCCCTTGGGCTAGGAGTGTGGGAAAGAAATGACTTGTCTAAAGTGGAACAAGAATACAAATTAGAGTGAACTTCTTATCAGAAACCATCAAACAAAAAGAGACTAGAATGTCAAAGAAAGTCACTGCCAACAGAGACTTCTGTATCCAGTAAAAATCTGCTTCAAAAGTGAAGGCAAAAGAAGTAATTCATTGTCAGCATACCTCTTGCAAAAGAAATGTTAAAAGATGTTTTTCTGGCTGGGTGTGGTGGCTCACACCTGTAATCCTAGCACTTTGGGAGGCTGAGGTGGGCAGATCACAAGGTCAAGAGATCGAGACCATCCTGGCCAACATGGTGAAACCCCGTCTCTACTAAAAATATAAAAATTAACTGGGCGTGGTGCCATGCACCTGTGGTCCCAGCAACTCCAGAGGCTGAGGTGGAAGAATTGCTTGAACCCAGGAGGCGGAGGTTGCAGTGAGCCGAGATTGTGCCACTGCCCTCCAGCCTGTCAACAGGACAAGACTCTGTCTCAAAAACAAAAAAAAAACAAAACAAACAAACAAAAAAAGATGTTTTTCTGGCAGAAGCAAAATAAAATAGATCAGAAGCTTGGATCCACATTAAAAAATAAAAATAAATAAATAAAGCAAAGTACAATATATTACTTTTCTTATTCTTACCTAATCTAAAATATAACTTGTTGTAGTTGTAATAGTAATATTTTAGTTTATCATAGTGTATGAATAAGTAGAAAGAATGCCACATGCAATGTCACAAGGAATGGGAGAAAAGAATTGAGAAAACTGTTGTAAGATACATGTACTGTGCATGAAGTGGCATAGTGTTAATTAAGATGGACTTAGATTAGTTAACAATGCACAGTGTAAACTCTAGGAAAACTGCTAATTTTTTTTAAAAGAAGTAAAACTGAAAAAGTAAGTGAGCTGATCAACTTGAATGCCATAAAATTTTCAATTAAAACCAGAAAAGGAAGAGAAGGGAATAGCAAGGACAAAGAAGAAACACAACAAATAGAAAAAATTTAAAAAGATGCTAAATACTAGTCCAACTATATCATTTTAAAATGTAAATTGTCTAAATAACCAATTAAAATATGATTGTCAGAGTGTATACAAAAATCAATGCCCAGCTGTATGTTGTCTGCTGTGAAGATCATATTGGGCCATGGCATAAAAATATCTCTTTGAAAAACGTGTTTGCTCTCTCCTTTTGTGACCTAGTAAAAATGTGGAGAGATCAATTAATGGGAAATGACATGCGTACCTTTAAATTTATTGTATTACTTTTCTTAGGAATTGCTTTGATTGTGGTTATTTATTTTAAGAATATCAGTAGAGACCCACAGTATCTAAAATGTGTGCTTTGGTGAAAACAAAGCTAATCTCTAGTTATTTTCTGTTCATAAAGATTTGGTCATTAAATTATGTAATTTTTGTCAATGGTAGTGATGAAAGGACATTAGCTTTCTGATAAAAAAATAAATAAAATGTTATTTGCTTGGTTTAAACTTCATAGTTGATTTCTTAAGTGTCCTCAAATGTATACTTCTTTTGGCACTCCTGGATTTTGACAGCTCCTAGATATGTGCCCATCTTGATAAACTGCCTACAAGTTAACAGTTAAAAGTGAGATCTTACAATGTCTTCATTTTAAAGTTCTGTCGTAGTGGGACAGTCACCCACAAGTTTAATTGACTAAATTACAGAGTGCACCTAAGAAGATCTACTCAATCTAGGTTAGATACATTAGATAATGTCTGTTTCTTACTACGCAATTCCTCCTGTTCCCAAGTCCTTATAGAATGATAGCCGTCTTTTGGTCATTAATCATTTTCACATTCAACACTCTATGTCTTAACCATAAAATCAAACATTGGCAATCATATTGTTTGTAGAAGGCATCTTGTATTGCTTTGCTTGTTTTGATGCTTGTTTGCTTGTTGGCTGGCACCAAGAGTTTCTCTGAGCTCTTTCTATTAACACTTGCTTCTGGACTGGATTATCTCCTATAATGTAAGACAATTACTAAAAATGCTTTTTTTTGGATAACAGAGAAGGTGTAAACTATTTAACAAAGAATGGTGGGAGGATAGCTAATATTAAATAAATTGTGTAATAAGCTTTGAGTGCTTATTGGAAAAACAATCATTATTTTCTACCGTTTTTGTTTTTTAATCTTTACTTTTTCTTAGAATATTCTATTGAAATATATTTATTTTTGGAGACATGCTATGAAAGAAGGATTATTAAGTAGATCAATTACTTTCCAGCAATAAAAGCACCACCATGACCATTTAGATTTTCTCTACCACTGATATTTAAGCAGCAGAGCCTTCTAGAGGAGTATTGTAACTCAGTTAACTGGATGAATTTCCATGGAAATTTCAAGTGTTCACAAATAAACTAAATGTATTTTTACTAGTGTATGTAAAAATTTACTTTACTTAGCTACTACTATGTGTATTCACAGTACAGTACTAATAATGACCTGAGCCCATAAGACAATGGAGTTTCTTAAATAGCTCTCTTTAGCTAGACTAAAAAAAGTATCATCTTCTGAATTGCAATACTAATTTGAATTTAATTTCTTTATCAAGCACAGTAATTTTATATAAACCCAGCCTAGTAAGTCACTGGTAATTGATATTCTGCCCTGCAATTAAGTAATAAAGAAAAAATTCATATTCAACAGCAGGTCACAGGCCTATAGAAGGTAAATAATATGAACCTCCGATCACTAACAGGCAACATAGGGGGTAACATTAAAGGCGAATTCTTTTGAACTGACAGGTGACAGAGAAGGTTAGAAATATAGATTTATTTTGTATTTGTGTTTACATTATATTCCAAAGGAGAATGAAAAAAGTCATTGCACATGTAATGAAATTAGTTACCTGAAATCAGAGAACTTGACATATCTACTGTTTAAGACAGGATGACTATAATGTAACAAAAATGGTGAAAAAATGTTATATCAATTAAATGTTTTCTCAAGTGGTGATTTAAAAATAGAATATATCATATTTGTATAGAATAAATTATCTAGTATTTTTTCCAGTAAAGAAGCTGTTTTGTTGTCAAAGCTAATTTATATTTCCAGAATAGAAAAATTAAAATCTTATTTGCATAATATTTAGGCAACATAAGCTTTTTGAAACATTTCCATAAGAACATTCTTGTAACATAAGCATGTAGAGAAGTAGAAGGCAGTGAGGGAAAAACAGGAATCTTATATGTGGTCTAAAAGGCACTTCCATTTCCCACTTTTCCCCCTAATAAATAAAGACAGGATGAACAGCTAAAATTACTAATTGGTTTACTGATCAGTTGTACTTTGTTCGATTGATTTGCAATTAATTCTGGTTTGTGGTGCGCTGAAGAAGAAGGTTGACGCCAACCTTTGAGGCAGCTGATACTTAACACCCTGCTGCACTCTGCAGAGCAGGGGATTGATATTCGGTTTGGAGACAGATCCTAGAGCCTTTCATGAAGTATTGCTCTGCTCCATGATCTGACTAGGGAGGCTGAGCCCATATTATTTGTTTCAAGAAATAGTAAAATGTAGTCTTCAGTTTGAGTTTTAATCTCGCATAATTATAATGAAAACAAGACATACAAACAAAATTTGGAAGTATCAGTCCTTTCAGTTCTTCATTTTCTCATTTTCTTTTCCTCCTATTTGTGCCCCAATCTCCACGGTCATGTAGTCACACACATGCTCATGAGTGCTCATGAATGTATGCATGCGTGTGCATGTGCACACACACACACACACCCCTTTCCATTTGGCTAAGGATACTTTGATAATCTTATTTAACCTATTTCTGCTGAGAGAAAGGATTCATTAAAACTTAAATATTAACTTTTCTAGGTTAATTTCAAATCTAATATCCATATACTATATCAGATATAACCCACATTTAATGGGTTAAATGTGGAGGGTAAAAATATTTTCTTCGTCTTGATGACATTATGTGTTTGCTGACTATTAGTCTCCGTTTACTACCCTCACTAAGAAAATTGTGAGTTTCATGCCTTCTGTTCTTAAGTGATTTTTTTCTGTCTATATCCAATTCTTTATAGAACATTATATATTGTTATTTATCCACTGTATTTTCCTAATCAGAATTATAGTAATATTATAAAACTATATGACCTCATTTAATAAAAATTGAAACTATTCTTAATATTTTTTTGGCTCTAAAATCTAAATTCCTTTTTTTTTTTTCAGACAGAGTCTTGCTGTGTCACCAGGCTAGAGTGCAGTGGCGCAATCTCGGTTCACTGCAACCTCCGCCTCCTGGGTTCAAGCAATTCTCCCGCCTCAGCCTCCCGAGTAGCTGGGACCAGAGGCACATGCCACCATACCCGGCTAATTTTTGCATTTTTAGTAGAGACAGGGTTTTACCATGTTGGCCAGGATGGTCTCAATCTCTTGACCTCATGATCCACCCACCTCGGCCTCCCAAAATGCTGGGATTACAGGCGTGAGCCACTGCACATGGCAATTCCTTTTACATAAATATAGAATGTAAAATATCACAAAAATATTTTTAAGCCTTATTTGTATGTGTTCCTGCCCTTCTATGATGGTAAGATGTGTCTCACACTCACTACTGTTTCTCTGAAGCACGTGAGCACGATTTTCTCCTACTGATACCTGAATAATCACTGTATCAGGACTGCATTAGGGTGCAATTAACAGAAACCATGATAAAATTAGTGTTTGCTTGTTTGTTTTTCTTACCCTACATGAAGGGGATGGGGGTTAGGCAAGCCACAGCTGATACCACTATTTAAGAACCAAGTTCTTTCTTCCACACTTTGCCATCCTTAGGGAATGACTAATTTTCATGGTTGATAATCATCTGTTGCACCTCCTAACATCATCTGTTTCACTTTCCCGACAGGAGAATAGGAGGAGAAAATAAGGCAAAAATCAATGGCAGCCAAATCTGGACCATTTAGTGACTTATGCTCATTGATTAGGACTGCATCACCTGGGTACATTAAATTTCAAGAAATTCCGAGAGGTAAATATGTTGAATAGGGTGCCTTGACACATCAATAAAAATGGAATTCTCTAGTTAAGGAAAAAATGAGAATTCATATTGAATTTAATGTTTACTTATTAAATTTAATATTTATTAATATAGAATGCACATTAAATTTGATATCCAATTTAAGACTCTAAAGTTGCATTTCCTTTATCTTCTTTTTGTTGACTAAATGAATGAATTTAATCATTCAGGAATTCATTACAAATTTATTCAGCATCTACATGGCATTCTAATGCCAATCAAAATGCCAAGTGTTAAAAATACAAACGAAAACAATATTAGTTTGCTTCATTAATTAAAATTTTCATTTTAGTTTTTGTGGGTGCATTGCAGGTGTATAAAATGTTAGTTTTCTAACATCAAAGTGCATAAAGTTTATTGGGAAGTTGGTCATGGAAACAGGTGATTGGAATGAGTCTGATAAAGGCCGTGATCAGAGTATATATTTTGGATTCAGGATGTCTACACCCAGGTTCAAAATATAAGACATGTATATAAAAACCTCATACAACTCAAATATATACATTAAAAGTTTCCAAATTTATAGAATATAAAGAGACCGGAGATCATCTATGCAACTTCTTGCTTTTCTAACACACAGCCTCAAAGTGTAAGGTAGACTAAAAAATGTCTTAAAAAGTCTTACCTCATAGGTTAGTATTTCATAAATTAAAATGTAACTGACTAATAAATTGTTGTGAGTTTAAAAAAAGTCACGGAAGGCCTAAATTAATAGATTACATAATCAAATATAGGTTGGTGCAAGAGTAATTGAGGTTTTTACCATTGCCTTTGATGGCAAAATATTTGATAATATATTTTTTAGTAGATCTTGGAGTTTAAAAAACAAGCTTCTTTATTTTATTGTATTGTGTTTATTTGTTACAGCTTCTGATATTCAATGGCCTCCTTTTATTTAGATTTTAAAAAGTGATTAATTAGAGAACACTTTTTTTCCCAAAAGCATATAATCTTTCTTTAGATTATCAGAGACCAAATCCTAGGCCATGAGTTTTCTTTCATCAAGGGAGTCCCTTCTTCTGGTCATAGTTAGAAACTCCCTTAAATTCAGTTCTAAATTCTGATTTTGGACAACCATCTTAATTCAATCTTGTTTTTAGACTGTCTAATGGAGAAAATAGTATTTACAATTCCAGCTGTTTATATTAATTTCTGAGTATCGATATTTAGAAGTATTGATTAGTCATGCTCATTATTTAATTACATTCAAAATCCTTAGAAACTGAAATGCCTGTGAGGTCAGAAAGAACAACAACTGAATGCTTTCGAATGAAGGTGGAATCATTCTAAATAAAATTACGGAAATCAAGTGCATGCAAAGTTTCTCAATTTAATTTATTTCTGCTTTATGAATGGTCCACTCTCACCTAAATATATTAATAATAAATTAGACCACGTACTCTACTTTGTCAGGTGAAAATGGATAGACATGAAATTTGGGGCCCATATTATAACAAGAAAAATGCAAACTATGCCAAGATGAGATGAGCTCTTTCAGATGACTTGTAAAGGCTGATTCAAGAACTCTGGGTGCCTAGCAATGTCTTCACACCAATGCAGGACAATGTGAATGCCTTGCAAGCATTGCTCCCATCCAGCCAAGTTTGTTGTTGCTGTTTTTTGTTTACTTGGTTGAATATGGCTGACACACAGCACAGAGGCTGGTATTCAAACTTATGCCTATTTCACTTATCAATTAATTCAAGAAAGCTAGCGTTACAATTGGCTTACATTTTTTCAATGATGTTCTTCTTTTCTTTTGTTTTCCTCTATCTTTCATGACGTCTTATGATTGAAAATAATGCACTCCCCAGAGATTTTTAACACACACTTAATACACACTTAGCAATACAATAATCTTTTCTTATCTTTTGAATTTAGATATTACTGGGTTTTCTGTATACTTTGTTCCTTGTAGTAAAACAAAAAGCCTTAAGTAATTTGTGGAGTTTAAGTATAACATAACTTCTTTTTCTCCCACATGTTATTTCAGGAAATTCATCGTGCTACAAAACAAATTTTAGTGACTAAAACAAAGAATGTATTCTGATTACCCCCATGTAAGTTTCACCTGGCACTGAAAACAGCGCCATCCCCACTTGGTACACTTTATACAAGAGACATCTGTTTACGTTACTATAGTTCTAAGATGAGTTTTGATTTTCAACAATCTTAATCTTGAGTCTTACTCTTGTATAATTTATTAGCACCCAATAAAGAGGGCTCTTTTTCTAAATGGGCATCTGTTTTGTTTTTGTTTTTGTTTTTGTTTTCATTAAGAATGTGATGGCATGCATGGATATAAAACCAAGAAAAACAGAATATGGCTAATGATTTGTTCAGACTTAGCAGAGCTCATAAATTAGATGCTTGATTTGCAATATTGAAGAACAGTGATAAGAAAATGCAAATCAGACTGTGTGTTACTCTAGAGTGTGCTTTTCACAACTGTAGTGATCGTGTTTCTGCTACTGCATGAGTTTCCAGCTCTGTTTTAAATCAGCTACCGAAGGACACTGTAGTCTTCATAGAGCATTCCCATGAGAATGGTGAGAGGGTTTCTTGACTCCAAGGTAAGAAAGCTATCTGTCACTTTATCCAATTGAGCTCTCTTAACTGATGTCGAGTCTGCTTACATAAGGAGACTTTTGCACCCATACTCAGTGGAAGCTTGTGTGGCTAGCAAAGACATGAGGCAAGATGGAGTTGGGGAGGGGAATAGCTTTGCTAAACAAGTAAAATGATCCCTTTTACTCTTCAAAAAGATGGCTTTTTATCCCATCCATTCATTGTAATGCTTAGTTGTATGACATTGATTTGAAGAACAGGATTCCTTATGGGACAATTCCTAGCTTATGTCATAATTTAGTCAGCATGTCACATTATTTATGTGTCATGAAACAAGAACCCAGATAGTAGGTCTTAGAAATCTATAGATTTACTGTCTGATAAAGAGGAAACTTGGTATTCTAATATGTGAACTGCAAAAATCAATCATTTACAATTAAGTTAGTCATGGTCCAAGCACTGTAATCAGTGGGGAGGATGAAATATATTTCTAAGTTCAAGGAGAAATAATGATCATACCACATGACAATGATGAACAAACAAGGCCCCAAAATGGAGACACCCACCTTTGGATGGAAGAGGGGATAAAGAGGAGACAGGGAGGGGAGTGATGAGAGAGAGGGAAGAGAGAGCAGGGAGGGAGAGGACACGATAGTCTCCATAGAGCTATGGTGGAGGGAGAGAATCATAGACATGCAAGAGTTGAATTAAATTTTGAAAAACAGTGGAAACTGCAGAAATGAATCATTTCTTTATTTTCTGTATTTTTCTTTGTTTTTAATATTGGATCCTTTTCAAAGATACTGTTTGAAAAAATAGATGTGTTACTTTAAGACAGCATCATCTGCATAAGCCATACTACAGATCTATGACTGCCTATAAACTTTGCTAACAAATGTCGTGCTTTTACAAACCACTTGAAAGGAAGAGGAAAAGCTTGAGCAGGAAAGCACTGACATAAATGTATTCTTAATGAAGGAGTCTTACGAGAAATGTAGCTACTTAGCACTGAAATGCCACTATTGGCATAGTGACAACATCATGAATTTCAGGTCAAGAAGCAGGTAAAGAGGACATGGGCAAGCCATGATATCCTCCACCTTTATAGATTGGAAAAAGAGTAAGTTTCATGCAGGGATTGGAAAGAAGGGGTGGGAAGAATAACTCAAACCGAAAGAAGAGGGAAATTGATGAAGCTGTTAATAAATTAAACATTAGTAAGGCCAATGGCCAAATGACATACAGTAGAATGTGCATTATGGCTGACAAAATGCTGGAGTCCAGTATGCAGATGGTAAACAGTGAGTGTCCCAGATCTTCCAAATGATTGTGCTACTCTTAGGAATTCCCAGGAGTATTCTCTCTTTTTTTTTTTTTTTTTTTGAGATGGAGTCTTGCTGTGTCCCCCAGGCTGGAATGCAGTGGAGCTATCTAGGCTCACTGTAACCTCCACCTCCTGGGTTCAAGCAATTCTCCTGCCTTAGCCTCCCGAGTAGCTCGGACTACAGTCGTGTGACACCACATCCAGCTAATTTTTTTGTAATTTTAGTAGAGACGGGGTTTCACGGTGTTAGCCAGGATGGTCTCAAGCTCCTACCTTGTGATCTGCCCACCTTGACCTCCCAAAGTGCTAAAATTACAGACGTGAGTCACCACACCTAGCCAATTATTTTTAAATCCATCAATTAAGTGGATAAACTTGGAGCAGCAGGGTCATTAGGATCCTGGTCCAAATATAAAGTCCCCAATTCTGGAACTCACCCCCCGCGCCCCACCCCCACACCACACACACACACCCTGCTTTAGCCAACTTTTGTTGTATTTTAAATTTGTCATATAATCTTTAAATTTAAGACTTAATGCCAGATTTATCTTCTGCCTGAAATGCTTTAATCTCCTCCACTCTTCTACAAGTGTCCAACTCCTACGGATTCTACAGACCTCAATTATTTTATCTTAAATTACACAATTGATGCTTGTCTTCTCTGTGAGTGTACAGACTGTGCCTTGCCAAAGACCTAACACTTATCACCGTGTCTTGTACATAGATTTGTAATAAATATTAGTTAAATAAATACATAAAGAATATTCCTCGAATTCTCATCCTTCTTTTCAAATCAATTAATATAATTTTACCTACATCATTTTCTCCTAAAGCAGAAGAGATGTGTTTCCTGCTGTTTAAATATAATTCCTCTATAGGAATTCTAGACAGCACTTCCTTAAACCCCTTACACAAAACCAGTTTTCGTCAATTATCCTTTCCTACTCAGGTATACTCGAGTTATTCCTACCTCTCTAGGTAGGTTTTTGTAAAAAATTTATCTTAAATGTAGTCTACTTATTACAAATTTCCAAAATGCAAATCAAAACAAAATAGACTTCACCACTGTATGTTTTCTCAAATTATCATGATCCTATGGTTGCTTTCAAGCATATAACATTATAGGATCAAGTTGAGGACCAAATTAAATTACTCAAATTGCATTTATTTAAATAGTTTGAAAAAAAGAGAGAAGCAGAGAGAAAGAGACAGGGTAGGTTTACACCCTTAGAAAAGGGTGTAGTGGGATGAAATCATTACACTGTTAAAATTCTGTTAGTCAGTGTTCATATTCAAGATTAATGAAACTAAGTACAGAAGCAAGTAGCTCATGAGACATTTTAGACAAATATACAGTAAAATATATGTGTGCCAATAATAGATAGGGAGATATATAAGAACCAATTTAAGCAATAAACTTTCACGTGTCCATCGGCCTTCCACATTGACAGTGCAGATGTGAGGACTGCAGTTGAGGGCAAGCAAAGGTGATCGGAAGATGAAACTTTCTTGTAGCCAGACACACTTGCTTTATCGGAGAGATGCAAGGCTACTATAGTCTACTTTCCCACTTCAGCACCACTCCTCAAGCTGCTTCTGTCTGAAAGCTCTGTCTCTGGGACAGAAATGTACCTAAACCGCTACATTTCTTGTAAGCCTGCTTCCATCCCTGGAAGAATCTATCTAACTGCATTTCAAATTCCTGGTCAAGCTGTCTGTCTCTAAGGATCTTTCTTGATATACACTTTTGACATTCTAGGCGCTATTATAGTAGAAGTATTTCCTCTATTTTATTAAATAGAAAATATTTTAATGCAGAAAATTTCCCTATCATATGTTTTATATCTGTGATGTGTTTCCAGATAGTTTGAAGTATTGTGAATCTGCCTTCTGAAAGCCACCTATCAAATGCTGCTTATTGTCAAGGATATCTATTTATCCAGGGAATTATTGCCAAATATTAATATTTGGATTTTAAAGAAATTCTACTTTTATTGCAGAAGCATAAATGCAGATGCAATTCCTTATAATTCAATTTTGTATTAACATTTCCTTATTTATAAATGTATTCATATATTATAAATAATTTGCTTAATTATAAAAAATTGAAGTGATTTGTTATACTCTGCTAAAATAGTTATTCTATAGTTTATAGTTATTTAACTTCAGTTAAGGTAGAATTAATTACTTAAAAAGGGAATCTAAAAAAAATAAGAGGAGAATCAAGGTTATTTTCCATATTTAAACATTTAATAAAGGTTCTTAAAGTGCAAGATTACTTACAAAATATCTTCTGTCTTTAGAAAAACCTCATCCAAGTATTTCATGTTTCTTTTTTATAAGTGAATACTAAGTTAATTTCAAGGAAGCTTGTGAGTTGCCAAAAAATTACACTTAGGGAATTAAAACCATAGACAGTTAATTGCATGGTTAAATGTAAATCCTCAGAAACCTCTGAAAAGGCATGATCCTAATACTCATATAATAAATTCCTATTTTTCCAGTGTTTGCTTGTCTGCGTTTTACCAGCAGCAGTTTTACAATGTTCTTATTTTTGCAGTCAATTTATAATGAATTGTTGTAAGGAAATCCCAACAAAGCACTTTGATTTCCCACATTCTAAGTTACATTCTCATTTCTGTTTTCACTGTTTTTTGCTTTCAAATAATTGGACAGAATTTTATATTTAAGGGCTTCTTGGTTTCCTTAAAAGTAATCACCTGGGGGACTTGCATCAAGATGACTGCATAGAAACAGCTCCAGAGTGCAGTTCCCAGTGAGAGACATGAAGAAGGCAACTGATCTCCACATTTCCAACCGAGGTACCAGGTTCATTTCAATGGGACTGGTTGGACAGAGGGTGCAGCCCAAGGATGGTGAACTGAGGCAGGGGGGGTGCTGCCCCACCCGGAAAGTGCAATCGACTGGAGGATTGGGGACATTACCCCCTCAGCATTCCAGTTCAGATACTGCACTTCTCCCATGCCCTTTGCAACCCACAGTTCAGAACATTGCCAGGCTGAAAAGCACTGTGAGCTTCCAACACAGATCTAAGCGACAGCTCCGGTTGGCCTGGCACTGAGAATTGTCAGCACAAAACTGGGAGGAAGTTTTGACTAGCACTGAGAGTGCCTGCAGGATGGATCTACCCACCCCTGAGAAAGAGGGAGAGCTGAAAGCAGGGAGACAGGTGATACAGCTTGGCAGTCCCACCCAAACAAAGAACAGCAAACCAAAGCCCTCTTTCTTGAGAGTTTTGCAGCCAGCACGTCAGTTTGAGCTCGACCTGGGACGGTTGAGCTCTGTGGGGGGAAGAGCATCCATCATTGTGAAGGTGGGTCTAATCTCACCTGTGTAAACCAAAGCCAGAGAAGAAGCCTACACAGCAGCTGGGCTGAGTCCAAGGCAGCCCAGCAGTGCCTCTGCAGGCAGACAAGGGACAGACTGCCTCCTCAAGCAGCTCCCTGACCCCTGTATAACAATAAATAAATAAATAATGAAAAAATAAAAATAAAAGCCTCATACAGCAGAGACGGTTAGAAAGAAAACTAAAAAACAAAAAGAAATAGATAAAACATCAACAGAAAGGATGTCCACTCAGAGACCCCATCTGAAATCATCAACTTCAAAGATCAAAGGCAGATAAACCCAGAAAGATGGGAAGAAACCAGCACAAAAGAG